TGTTTTTGCTTTCTAAGACCTTGAAATCTCTGTCACAACTATGCAGCTCTGTCTTATATAGCATGACAACAGCCATAGATAATATATTTAAAAATGAGTGTGGCTATGTTCAATAAAATTTAATTTACAAAAGCATATAGTAGGTTGGATTTGGCCTGCAGACCAGTTTGCTACCTCCTGGTCTAGAATCTCACACTGGCAATTAAATGCTTTTACCTAGATGTGACACATATCATTTGACCCACATTTTATTTGCTAAAGCAAGTCACATGGTCATGCCTTCAAGGCCCAGGGAAGTACAGTTTTCCATTTTCAGAGGAGAAATGGGAAAACATTTATGAGTGGTATGAATATCTTCACATTATCCACTGCAGTTTTATAAAGCTCAGCAAAAATGGGAATACTAGTAGTACAGTTTAAAGTCAGGTATCTTGGGGCACCTGGCTGTCTCAGTCAGTTAAGTGTCTGACTTCAGCTCAGGTCATGATCTTGTGGTTTGTGGGTTTAAGACCCATGTCGGGCTCTGTGCTGAGAGCTTAGAGCCTGGAGCCTGTTTTGGATTCTGTGCCTTCCCTCTGTCTGTCTCTACCCCACTCTCTCATGCTCTCTCTCAAAAATAAGTAAACATTTTTTAAAAAATCAGATATCTTAAATTTGAATGTTAAATCTGAAGTTACTTGGTGGTCCTGCATGACCCAGGGAAAATAAGTTTAATGTCTTGGAGTGTCAGTATCTCCTCTGTAATGTGAAGACAATAATTACCATGTCCTTAGAACTCTTTCAGGATCAAATAGGATATTATAGGGCAAAGGGATTCAGAAAACAAACATCAGGGATTCAGCTGTTGTAATTTCCTTTTATGCCCTTTGTTTCATTCAAGTTTCAGGCTGTTCTTCAACATAAAATTTAGACTCACCCACAGAGGCCTGGGCATTGGCACACTTGGAGTTCCAAGCTCTATGTCCAAAGTGATGGCCTCTTCTAAGAATTTTGCTCTGGCTCCAGAGCTGAAGTAAAAACTTCTTTTCTATTCTCTCCAGACTGTGGCCCATAATACTGAACAGAGTGGGCCCAGTTAAAAACTGGCATTGGAATGAATAATTGAGTTTAGCAAGTAAATGAAGCAAAATTGCTTTTATGAGTTATGCAAATTTCGTCTCCCTGCTTTTTCCCCTCTTGGTATCTGAGAGAGCCTCATTATCTCTTAAACAGTCTCCTAAACCACTTTAATCCTTGAGCATTTCTTAGTCCAGCATGGCATGCTTTAACTCTACTCTGTTTGTAAGCCTCCTGGGTGGCTAGGAAAGGAGTGAGGAACATGTGGGAACAGCTTCCAAGAAGTATTTGAAGGAAAGGAACTAATGTCAGTGAACAGCTTCTCTATGCTAAGAGCATTACACACACTCCCTTATTTTATCCTCACAATAATACTGCATCGCAGATTGTTTTATTTCCACCAAAGAAACTGAGACTCAAAGAGTTTAGGTAACAAAGCCTAGGTATGTTAGGATATGCAGCTAGGAGGATGAAGAGAGCCACAGTTTGAAGCCTGGTCTGGCGTCCAAGTCCCTCTTTCTTTCCCCGCTACCAGGCTGTGTGCTTCACAAAGCAACTCCATTCAGATGGGTGTCAATAACCTTTCTTCCTTGCGGGGCAGTTCACTGAACCCTCTGTCCCACTGGAGAGGGTTGGTAATATCCAAAGAAATTCAGTACCTGAAGGACTTCCCTGCTGCATCCTCTGTACCTAATGGAGTCGCCTTCGTACTTGCTCCTCCCTCCTATTTATTCTCCATGTGGAATTTGGGCTAAATTTGCACACCATGGGTTGTAGTGGTGATAAACCACTAAAACATGTGAAATCTTAGGGGAAGGAGCATCAATAAAAAGATAAGGAGATTCGGGATCTGATTATGATAATAATAACAGTAATAATAATAAGAGCTGACATTTTATTACTATTTGCTAACCACTTTTCCACATATTAACTCATGTAACCCTGACAACAATCCTGTGAAGTAAATACTATAAATATTTTAAGGCTTAGGCAGCTGGAGATGATACATCTTTCCCAAAGTTGCACAGCTAATAAATGGAAGAGCTGGGATTTGAACCTAGAAATGATGATATCAAAGTGTCTTAACCACTTTGCAAGTCATTTCAACCGTCTGGCAGCTCTTAATAGATGCTGGGCCTGGCTCTAACCCCTAGATACTCCAATGTATGTGGCCAGGGCACTGGTATTTTTGTAAAGCACCAGAGGGTGAATCTAAAGAGAAGCCAGAGTTGAAATAGATGCTGGGCCTGGCTCTAACCCCTAGATACTCCAATGTATGTGGCCAGGGCACTGGTATTTTTGTAAAGCACCAGAGAGTGAATCTAAAGAGAAGCCAGAGTTGAAACCCAGTGAGTGATCCCATCTCCCTGAGCCTAAGCTTCTTCATCTGAATACGGGAGAGGTGGAGTTTAGAACTGTGAGGATATATTGAAATGTCATAGTAAATTAAGAGTCTTACTAGCATTTTGTGGGCAGCTTCCAGGGATACTAAATGTCAACTGATGCTGGAAACAATATTGCCCAAGGAAGAATTTTCTTTGCTTCCCCCCCCACCCCCAAGAAGAATTTTCTTGCCCAGATTACAAACAACATCCCACTGGTATAAGGTGAAGGTGCTCTTTGGCTCTCAAAATCTGTGCCTGTTTGATTCTAAACTCTACCAAGTATCAAAGGGGATGGGATGCTTTCCCTCACTGCTGAATGGATTATTCTCCTTTCAACTTTTTAACCACTAAGCAGTGAAGGAGACCCAGGCAAGTCTGAAGGCCAGCTTCGTTCTGGCACAATGCCTCCATGATTGGGAAAGTGTGTCACCAGTCTGGGACTAAGGCTCTTCATTTACAAAATGGGTTTTAAAAAATTTCAAAGGACTCACCTAAGGATTAAATAAAATATTGCATGCAAATCACCAGGACATAGAGGTGCCTAACACATAATACATATTTACAAACATAATACACATAGGAGATGAAATTAACATTATTTTCCTCATAGCATAGATTAGAGAGAAATCTATGCTAATTTATATAAAGCATGACAAAAGTAGCAAATAATAAGTATTCAGTATGCTGATGCTTTTTACTTGTGTGCTCCTTGCATTTCAAAAATTTAAGTGTGTATTTATTTAGTGTATTATTGCAAGAAAGAAGGTAAAGCATACACCATGTAAGAATCATAACTGTGATCTTGGGGCGCCTGGGTGGCTTAGTCCGTTGAGCGTCCGACTTTCGCTTACGTCATGATCTCGCGGTTCGTGTGTTCGAGCCCCGTGTCGGGCTCTGTGCTGACTGCCAGCTCAGAGCCTGCAGCCTGTTTCAGTCTGTGACCCCCTCTCTCTCTGACCCTCCCCTGCTCACGCTGTCTCTCTCTCTCTCTCTCCTAGAAATGAATAAAACATTAAAAAAAAAAAGAATCATAACTGTGATCCCATGTGTAATCCCATCCTCCAAAACATATACTCTAGAAAGGAGACAGTCCCTAAGAGGTTCTTTTGTTTGCAGGTCAGGGGGAAGAATGTGAAGAGGTTTACTGGGGGAGTCCAGAGCCTAAATCACTTTACATTTGAAAAGGGATGAAAAAAAAAGTGGGGGGGATGTAAATACTGGGGCTATGGGAGAGGGAAGAGACAAAGATAGAGCTGTGGTGGGGGAGCCTTGAGAGGACAGGCAAGGAATTAGGGACTCATCCTTACATTTGTCTTGCCATAAAATCCTGAGTAAAATATTCAGTTTTTTCTTAAGCCTGTATAGATTAGAACCTATTACTTAAATTTGTTAAAGGAACGTGCTGGGTCCTTCCCCAAAAAGTTAATTTTGAGGCAGGAACAATGACTGACTGCTCATGGGTTTCCAAACTCAAAAAATGTTAAAATTTCTGAATTATTCATCACCACATTGCTGGCAGGGGTTTGGATTGGAAAGAGTATAGGTGCCCATCATTGAGGAACCAGTAAACCAGTGGGGAGGATGTTCATCTGGATACTATTTAGCGGGAAGAAGCAACAAACTAGGTTGTTTACCTGTTACAGCTAGAGAATATAAAAACAGAATGAGGCCATTAGCACAGTGCCATTTAAGTAGATGTAAAACATTCACACAATAAGAACACTATATTTTACAAGAATATATAAAATTCAAAGATTCGTACTCAACACATTAGGATGATGGGATTGGACAGTGCAGTAGGATTAGAATGAAATGCAGTGGGTGGGTGGGTAGGTGGGTAGGTGGTTGGATGGATGGATGGATAACTTTGAAAATCAATCAAACACGAATGAGAGTCTGAGTGAGCCAGTGATCATGGAACTGGGGGAAATTATTAACTCAATTCTCCATACCAAACCACTTCATCTTTCAGAACATTCTTGTAGAAACTGGTAGCAGCAGCAAAACCGGTACTGTCCATGCTGCCTTGTTCAGGAAGCTTGTGAAATTAGTGCAAATTGGTAAACCATTCCTAGTGAATTTGAGAAAAGTTTTACTGGTTTATAAAGTAAAAATACAGTTTCAAAGGCAATCTGAAAAGGCTATACAATGTATGATTCCAATTTATAAAACGCCAGAAAAGGCAAGACTATGGAGACAATATAAAGATCAGTGATTGCCAGGTCTCAGGGATAAGGGAGTGAGGGTTGAACAGGTGGAGCACAGGGGATTTCTAGAGGAGTGAAAATATTCCATATGATACTGTAATGGTGGACACAGGTCATTATATGTTTGTCAAAACCCGTAAAATGTACAACACAAAAAGTGAATTCTAATGCGAACTGTGGATTTAGTTAATAGTAACATAGCATTATTGGCTCATCAGTTGTAACAGATGCACCACACTAAAACAAAGCAAGCAACAACAACAGAAACATTTTAATATGAGACATGCTGCCTAAGAACAGAAGAGCACAAGAAACAGAGAACTACATCAAACTGAGGCTAAAATGGCAATCATACTGGGAGAAATTGATGTCATGTGCCTCCAGGCAGACCAGAACCAGACTCTGAACAGAACATGTTTTCCTCTATAGAAAAATGGGATAAATAGGAGCACTGCTAGAATACCAGGTGCATAAACAGTAATTGGATACACGAATGATCCTATAGAGAGACATGTCTACTTTCCTTTGCATCCAGGAAAATAATTTTAGAAACTGTGGGATTCTGGGATAGGAAGAAATGAGGGGTCCGTTTTATTGATTTATTGATTGATTTTTTTCTGTGAATTTTCAAAACCAGAGGAAGCAAACTGCAGACAGAGGCAGAAGTGACATAGTCCATGTCACATAGCATTATCAGCTACATCTCTTTCACTTTCCATGTGTGGATCTATTTCTTCTTCATTATAAGGGGAACCAAAAGGGGTAATTGATAAGAAATCATTTGAAAGCAGTGTGAAAATATGCTTGTGTGTCTTGGTTGGGGCAAAGTGGAGGTAGAAATGGATCCTCCCATTAAGAAGAATTTGATATGAGCCACCTTGACAGCTGGTAAAGGAAGTGGGTATAGAACAATGACCTAAAGGATTATCCTGAAACATTATCCAGGGCCACTTATTTCACCAGGGACTATCATAAAGCACACTCATGTTGCAATCCTTTCCTCCAGCTCTTTGACTTGTATGTGTAGGGAGCATATGATGACATTTGAATATCAGTCAAAGAGAACTAGGTTTCAGCACAACTCAGCAGTCTCTAATTCAGCACAGGACAAATGGCTCTTCCAACTGACCCCTAGAGAAAGAAAACATAATGGAGAAAGGCTATTGAAAGAGGGTTACGATGTAGTAGAAAAAGGCTTGTATTGGAGTCAAATGTCATGTGCTCTAATACCAACTCAATCACTTATAATTTATGTGGCTTTGGGCCAGTTAGTAACCTTAATGCAGTCTAAATTTCTTAATCAGTAAAATGGGAGTGGTCATATTTACCTTTCAGAGTTCTAAGTGCTCAAAACAATAAATATGAATTACAATGCCTGGCACATAGTCAGTATTCAGTGATATAATTGTGGTCTGCATTTGAGGAAAATGCTCATCTCCCAACAGCAGTGCTACCAAAGGGTATATATATGGGAGTTCTTCCAAAGTCCTCGAGAAGGAGAAGGATATCCCACATTACTGTTCCCCTCTTCTCAAAACACACAGAGTGGCAGTGGCTTCCATGTTTGCAGCGGAAGGTCAGTGTCTTAGCCCTTATCACTAATAATCTCCATCATCATCGCCAGTACAGCCCCAATAATAAAAGTGCCTCACATCTGTTTAATGCTTTCTTAAATATTATCTCAGGCTATCTGACTCTGTAATTTCCCTGCCTCCCTAAAAGCATAGCACTGAGTAGCTGATATTGCTGCAATTGGTGATTCAATTCTTCCCTGCACCTGCATGTCTCTGTCTTGCTATGTAATATTAAATGCATTTCCCCACAGAAACAAAGGCTGAAAACTCTACTATTTGTCCTAATGATGTGGTTACTTCTCTAGGGCCACCATTTCTCAGTTCAGTCATATAAGAGCTGGCCTGGGAAGCAAACCACCATCTTGTTTCTATAGGGGTGGAGTGCTATAAATACAGTGCAAGGAGACTTTGGAACAGAATCTGCAGATCAGGGTCTCTGTCTTCAGACCAGTTACTTTACCTTTGACAAGGACTCTAGAGTCAACAGGGACCCCCAGTCTCTTCTTTCATGTCTGGGTAGGCTGCCAGCAAGTCACTAGGAGGCAAGGGACTTGGATCTATAGCTTGTTGTTTTTTTTTTGTTTTTTTTTTTCCAGTATTGGGAAACCAAGTCTGGGCTTCCCCACTCATTTATAGCTTGTGGCACATGCTGTACACCTAGGCTTTATATCTGTATATTTTTCTAAATTAATGCAAGTAGATCTCTCAATAGAGCCCAGGGGAGTTATTTTCATACAGTGTGATGGAGTCTGCCAACATATTCATATAACCACAGCTGTGGATGCATCTAGAACAAGAAGAAGCGAGCTATCCAGTTGAGGTGAAGTTGTGACATGGCCTCTATTTCTGTTGTAATTGTATTTCCAGGGTCCTTAATCCCTTATTCTAATACCCCTGGATTCTTCAGTTTTTCTAACTAATATGAAATTAAGAAGGGATAACACAGTTTTGGTCTTTACGTGTCATGCTGTCGTGGGTCTCTTTTTATCCTCACAACAATCTTGTGGGATAGGCATTATTATTAATAGTAGTAGTAGTAGTATTAGTATTCCAACTTCAGATAAAAACACTTAAAACCAGAGAAACTCAGGAACTTGCTCAAAAATACCCAGATGGTAAGTGGCAGATTCAGAACCTGAATCCAGAATTATCAGACTTCAAAACTCCTATCCCTAATCAATAAGCTATAATTATTCAGTGTTTTATTATTTTTAATGTTCATCATTTTGAAAGTATAGGATTATTATTTGAGATTACTATCTGTCCTATGAATGAGATGGGACAGACACTGGTATCTCAATTTGGCAAGAGAGAACATGAAGGTTTAGGTGGGTGAATGACCCCACCCGGGCCCCCAAATAGCAGGTGACATTGAAGGGAACATGAAGTTTGGATCCAGATCTGGGGCTGCCCCTGACTCTGTGTGTAGCTGTGGGAAAGTCACTTATGTTCTTGCTTACGAAGTGCAGCTAATGTTATCTCCCTAAGAAGAGGTTTTCTATAAAATAGACAGTTTGGTGGCAATCTAACATAATGTTTAAAAATATGCATTATTGAGTGCAACTGCATGCTTTAAATGATTCTGTAACTTTGAGAAAGTTAACCCAAGTCTCTGTAAAAAGAACACAATAAAAGTACTTAATTTGTGGGGCCCTAGGAAGTTTAAATGATACAATTCATGTAAAATAATTAGTAAAGAACAAGTGCTCAAAAAATATTAGCTGTTATTATTTGTAAAGCAGCTCACAATGTGTGTAACACGTAATAGAATCAATAAATGTTAGCCCTTTCCACCACCACGTGTTCCCTGCTCTAGGATATGCAAGTCAGGGAAACAAATGTCCTCTCTAGCTCAGTGGAGTCCTCCCTGCCCTCATGACTTACACCTGCTTAAGCACAGGCCTTTGGGAGCCAAGTAAATGAAGGCAAGAGATGCCATTTTCAAATTTAATAAACACACAGCCACTCACGGGGGCATCTCTCATTCCCACTGGCAGGTTATAGACAGTCTTTTCTCAATTACCTGTGTCTAATTTTAATACAAGGCCAGCTTTGCTCACTTTGTTCTCTGCATTCACCCTCGGTCTCCTCCTGAGCCCCAGGTGGGATCTACTCAGAGAGTGTAAGCCCGTATTAATATCGTCCTGAGCAAAACATAATTAGAAAACTAAATCAGCAGCCACAAGAAGAGTATAATGCTTTCCAAAGCTATATATCGGGTGAGTGGAATGTTGGTGTTTATGCTTCTTTCCTTGACATTTTTGTTTGCTTTGGATTATCCACATCACTGCTTCCCTTTATGTGTCCCTACTATAAAAAAGTCAAGACCATTGGGCGTTTATTTAGGCTCTGGTACAGGAGTTGGCATAGTAGGGCTGGCTTGCCCAATCTAGCCCCCTGCTCATTTCTGTGTCAATCTTTGTTAGGACATGGCCACACCCATTCGCTTACATATGTCAATGATTGCCTTTGAGCTACAATGGCAGATAAAGACCAGATGGCCCACAAAGGTTAACATATTTACTATCTGGCTCTTTATAGCTACAATTTGCTGACCCTTGTCCAGTGTATCCATAGGCAAGACAGCTTTCAGAATAGCCCAATAAGTGTCTTTTTCTACCCAAAACCGATAACCAGCACCTGTATCCAAGTTCAATAGGTGGCTGGGCCAGCACAAGAATGGGTGCTTGGACTCAGGAAATAACCTGGCAGATGACTAAGACACTAGGGGATCAGGGCTGCAGGAGGCCTTCCTGGATTTCCCTGTGCTCATTGCCCCCAAAGAGTAGGAGCCCAGAGAAGACCTGCTGGGTCCTGCATGCTCTGGAGGCTACCTTAGAGCTGACCCAGTACTTATTGTGGGAAAACTGCTATGTGGCTGGATGATCTCTTTGCTGATAGTGGCTAGAGTTCTAGAACTCACAGCCTCAGGAGCCTATATTTAAAGACACGCACTTGGAGGTTCACATTATGTCACCTGTAGATGACAAAGATGGAGGCTGATTGGCAATTACTAGGGTGCATAAGAATTCTCTGGGATACCTGCTAATAATGCAGATTCCTGCCTCTACCAGAAAGTCCAACTGAAAAACTTGGGATGAGGTCCAGGAAGCACTGTTGTATTTTTTTAAACAAGTATTACTGGTTTTGTTGTTGATGTTGATGACCTAGGGAGAATACCTTAAGAAACAGTGCTCTGGTGTTGTGATCTTAATCATTCTGGGGTTGCTGACTATGTGAGAATCTTATTTAAAAAATGGAAACTTTGGTCAAGGGAAAAATTACAGTTTATGTGGACAGAAACACCTTATATTTCCTACAACTGGAGAGGGTTCCAGATTTTCTAAGCCCATTGTTCAGAACCCCAAATTAAGAACCATCCTAAAATAATGCATGAAGCATTGATAGGAGTGTTTGAGTTTTACACTCCTGATAGCTGTTACCTGCTCTTTTTCCTCCTGGTGAGTTCCCACAAAGGGTAGTTTCTTCTTGGTGATAAGGATGTATGGTGCTTGCCTGGATAAACTGATCGGGTGGTGAAGGTCACATGAGGTCCTATGTATGAAAGCAAATTGAAAACTCTAAAATGCCAGGAACACCCAGAGGATTGTGATGATGCGAAATCAGCCTTAAGGGGCTGCCTTCCAGGTTCATACCCTCCTCAGCACTGTGATCATAATTCCTACCTCCATGCCCTTTCAAGCCCAGTCATATTTTGCTGCCTGTCCAGTTTTCCTTCATGCCTCAGGGATCCCAGGAATTGCACCTCATGAAGTAACTAACCACTGGACATTTCCACTTTGGAGCCTTGCCAGCCCTGGCTCTCAGTGTACCCAAAACTCATCATAAAATTGGCTCCTCTCTCCCCTCATTTCCTGGCTGCTGTTGTGATTGGATGATTTTGAAATATTAATGTGTACCCCCCCTCTTGTATTTTTCTCTTTCTTTTCCTCCCCCTTTCCCCAATTCATATTCAGTTCTTTCCATAGGAAGAAAAGCAATAGTTGAGGTTTTCTGCTGTAGGAGAAAGGAAGCTGTTTTATATACGGTGACCAAGGAAAGTTCCCTTGAATGGGTAATATTAGAGGGTGAATCTGAAGGAAGCGAGGGAATGAGTCATGAATATAAACGTGAAGATAAGACAGTGAGAGGGCAAGTGCCTAGCCCCCAAGGTGAGAGCCTGCTTTGAGTTTTTAAGGAAGAGAAAGGTCAGTGTGGCTGGGTGAAGTAAGGAAGCAGAAGATTGACGGGCAGTCGGGTCGGAGGGACCAGAGAGCTGGCATATTCTCGAGGTCAAGCTCAGGACTGTAGCATTTATTCTGAGTGATCTGGGAATTGGAACTTAAGTTTTAAAAGGATCACTCTGACTGTGTGAAGAATCACAATTGGCTTTTCAAGCCCTCCCTCTTGCTGAGTAGGGGCCAAGGCAGAAGCAGAGAACCCAGTTAGGAGGCTTGTTCACAACCTGAGCAAGACTTACACCAGGGACAGCAGTGTGGGAGGTGAGGGTGGGGGGATTATGGCAAGACACTGTGTATATTTTGAAGATAGAGCCAATCACCCATTTTAAATGATGGGTTAGATGAAAGAAACAAGAAGATCAAGATGACTGCAAGATTTAGAATCTGAAAATCTAAAATGGGGATGACTCAAGAGGCAGTGGGCTTGGCGTTAGGAGCCAGGCTGGATCAGACATTTGGTTTAAGCCATGTTAACCTAAAGATGTGCTTCAAACATCTACATGGAGAGAGTGAGTAGACAATTTGACAAATTAATCTGGGGTTCAGGGAAGAGGTCTGTGCTAAAGTCAGGAGAATATTCCACGGGGTTCAGACAGTGTTGACAGCCAAGAGTTGGATAAACATGTATGGGAGTAGCTGTGGATAGGGAAGAGAGAACTGGAGAACACAAGTGTGAAAGGTTGGTCAGAAATAAGGAATTAACATAGGTGACATAAATAGTGGCTTGTGGGGAATTATAACAAAACAGGTGAAGTCCTAAAAGTGAAGGAAATGGGTTCAAGAAGGAAGAAGTAATTCAGCAATGTAGATGGCTATTGATAGGTTAAATGAAGACTGAGAATTGACCATGGGATGTCAGCAGTGTGAATCCTGTAATGCTCCCTGGGAGAGATAAGAAGTTATTTGCCTTAGGGAGTTGAAGAGACATTTTTCGATGACACAAAGAGTTGCTCAAAAGTGAAGCTAACTTGATGGATTCCCATCTGCTGAGCAGGGTGCCTGCCCTTTTCTCACCTCCAAAGAAGTGATTTTTCATCAGAGGAGAAACCTGTCACACCTTTGAGCTGCCAAGCCATAAATCTTCTTTCCACCAACTTGCTAATAGTTTTTCTTGCCACCTTTCCTGAGAAACCAGAGTAATTGTTATGAAATATGGGCTTGTTCTGTCTCTCCCAGCTGTGGTTCCTCTATCCCCTGCAGGTCCTGGGGAAAGGCAGAGTCTCTGTGTTTGTCACTGGGTGTTCATTAGAAGCACAGCAGATGCTGTTACCAAGAACGTGACATCCTGATGAAACCAGAGGCACCACACAGCAGCCCTGAAATCTGAGAGCCAACAGCCCCTCCTGCCCAAAAGGCATTAGCAAGCGGCTTCTGCTTTGTTTTCTTGGGGAGACAGAGAGAAAATGACCCTATTTAATCATGGGAATGAAAACGTTCTTTCATGTGTGCTCTTAGTGATTCCACAGAAATGTATTGAGTGTCTGAAGTTCTCTAGTAGATCATTGGGTTAAAAGTTTGATGCAAATGATCAGTCTGACATATGCATCTCATGGAAGTCATAATTAGCAGAAATTAACTGAAACATAATTAGCAACTGGGAAGAATATTGGGAGATATGGTCTGGGGACAGCTCAGTAAGTGCAGCTTTAAGTCTCCCCTGTTCATTATGCAGAATGTGCTCAGATCAGTGGCTATGGAATTTTTTCCTTGACCATCACGAGCTTCTGCCAGATCTTAAAGACCCCTGTGTAAGCCTTACCAAGCCTTTTAAACCCCCAACACATCTCCTTAAACTTCAACAAGGTTCCCTAGTGGTTGCAAAAACTATTTTGCAAGCCTTATCTCCATGATACATATCCGGGTGCAGGGTTCAATGTCTTGGTATGCATCTAAGTGCCATCTTGATACACTGACCACACATTCTGTAATGGTGACCTGACAGCACAGATGCACAGTTGCCTTGCAGCTCCGCAATGATAGATAGTCTGTGGACATGTGAGGTTGGTTATCTACAAGGTCTAAGTGAGACCAATTGTGGCAGGCCAGTGCAAGACTTCACAGAGTACTTATGATTGCCACACACCATGCTAAGCATTGGGGATATAAAGCTGAACACAAATCCCTGCTCTTAAGAAGATCAAATAGAAAAGGGTTTGCAAAGCCAAGTGACTTTAAGGAAAGCAACAGCCTTTGGCAGACCTGGCCCTAGTCTGAGCTCATGAATCTCCTGGCTTAACATCTCAGTCCTGACTGCTGGTCACCCACTAACTAAAAATTGGCAAGTTAAGATTTGATTGGATTGCTTTAATAATTGCTTGAGCAATGATTTAAGCATTATAGTTAAAGACTGCTTCTAATTTTCATAGCTGAATATGAGGAGTCCATCAAGTGACCCAACACTTAGTGTAGGATTTCCGAGTGCAGATGCCTGAATTTATCAAACTCTTCCGCTATACCAGACATGGTGCTAAGAGATTTCTGTGGCTTATCTGATTTAATTTCACAAACCTCTAAAGTATGTACTATTGTCATCTCCCATTTTCAGATGAAGAAAGTGAGTTTTAGTCAGGACTCAACCGCAGGGTGTCTGGCACCTGTGTCCCATCCTACTTTCTAGGATAAAACATTTCCTCATGCAAGATCAATTCAGACATACATCTTTACTTGATGAATGCCAACAGATTCTGAATAGTTGTGTACAACTGCACAAATTACTCAGCAGAGAATAGTGAGGGTCAGGACAGGAGATAACAGATGGCAGGACACAAGGGCAACATTATCAAAGAAATGTAAGTACGGATAATTTGCAGATCTTACCGTGTTCAGTTCCTTTGCCTTCTTTTGTATGCAACACTGTTGAGCAGACTCTGAAACTCAAATCTCTTCCTGTGCTTGTGATGAACAAAGATAAAAACTTTAAAATTTTCAGAGAATAGCAGGAAAAATAAGATGTGAAGTCAGATAAAAACACAGAGGGAGGCAAACTATAAGAGACTCTTAAATGCAGAGAACAAGCTGAGGATTGCTGGAGGGGAGATGGGTGAGGAGATGGGCTAAATGGGTGATGGGCATTAAGGAGGGCACTTTCTGGGATGAGCACTGGATGTCATATTGTAAGAGATGAATCACTGGGTCTACTCCTGAAACCAACACTTCACTATTTGAATTTAAATAAATTTTTAAAAAGATACAAAGTCAGATTTCCACCCCATAATCTCAATTAGTTAAATGTGGTCCAATTCTGGCAGCTTTCTCACCTTTAAGGGTATTGATACTTCTCCTTCTGGATCATCAATGTCACCCCTTTTTACCTTTTTCCTTCTGGACAACTTGTTTTCATTCTTGAAGATTCTGCTGAAGGATCACTCCCTCCAAAAAGCCATTCTAAGTCCCAGACTTAATCAAGTGGCCCTCCTCTGTTTCCTACACCATCATATATCAAATTGTGTGTTTTGTTGTATTCTGTATTAGGCTCTGAACCCTTTTAATACAAAGACTGTGTTTTACTTCTTTTTGTATACTCAACATGTAACAGAGTGGTAAATATATGATAGGAACTTTAAAAAAATTTTTTTTAATGTTTATTTTTGACAGACAGAGCATGAGTGGGGGAGGGGCAGAGAGAGAGGGAGATACAGAATCTGAAGCAAGCTCTAGGCTCTGAGCTGTCAGCACAGAGCCCAATGTGGGGCTCAAACTCATGACCGTGAGATCATGACCTGAGCCGAAGTCGGACACTCAACCAACTGAGCCACCCAGGCGCCCCTGGTAGGTACTTTTTAAATGAATAAAAAATCATGAATACATTGTGACATGGACCAGGTAGATTTGGTCTGCTTATAGCCAGCGTCTACCTGCTTAAACTTAGTTATCAGTTACTTGCAGTATGGAATATGTCTACCCTCATAACTCGAAACAGAACTCATGGTGTAACAGAAATTTAAACACCAAATGGTATAAGAGATTTAAGCTAGTCTAAATACTTCTGCATATAGATAAAAAAATTGGAAGCCAAGTGGACTGAAGAGCATTCCCCAAGGTCATTCAGATTTCAGGGACAGAACTGGGAATGGAACTAAATTTCTGACTCTTAAGCCAGAGATCTTTGCTACTTTACTGGTGTTTTCCCACAATAGCAGGTCTTTTAGTATTCTGCCCCATGAAGACAGCATGTTTTTCCTGATGGATAGATTCATCAACATTAAGAGAACCTCAAAGTAACAAATGAAAAGTTAAAAAAGAAAAATGATTTATTTTCCCATATATTGTTGAAAACAACTCACAGAATCTCTGGTCCCTTACAGCACTCAACTGCCACTCCTGAAACATGTTTCAAAAATTCAATAATTCCAAGGCATTGTTTATTTTTTCTCAAATAATTTGGTGCACAAAAGAAACTTAAAAGGTGTTAGAGATTGTTTCTTATCTCTGAATGGATAGTCAAGGACATCTCCCATAAGGAAAATTCTCATTTCAGCCAGAACGTTGTTTTCAATAAATCTAGTCAAAGGAATAAAGTGGCTGTTCTCCCCTTTGGTTAAATACACGTGTAGCTCACAAAGTATTTTGTTGATATAAATGTTAGCAAGCAATGACAGACATGCATCCAGAAGCCACTTAAATGTAGCAAAAGCCCCACCAGTCAATAGAAATTAAAACATTGCTTTTCTATGTACGTCTAGAATGATTTGCATAACACATTGATAGTGACACTGCCTTGTGCATTGCAGATGATTTGGGCTATGGAAGCAGACATATGTGCTTAACTTTATCATGTATTAACTCTCTGACCTTTGATAAGAGATTGAATCCTTTTAGTTCCATCCATCAATTCAAGAAATATTTAATGAGCATTTACTTGGTGCAGGCTCTACTCTAAGCCCTATGAGTAGTGACAAAAAGAGTTTTTTTAAAAAGTCTAATTCTCAGGAAACTTACATTCTTATAGGGGGAGACTTTGGGAGATAACACATACACAAATAGGAAATATTTGATGATTAGTATTATGGAGAAAAGTACAGTTGGGGGAAAGGGAGTGCTGAGAGGAGACCAGTTTTAAATCGGGTGATCAGGGAAGGTGTCACCAAGAGAGTGACACTGGAAAGAGGGCTGAAGGAGTAAATAAGTGAATCCACTAGGCATGTGGTGGCAGTGTTCCAGGCACAGGAAATGGCAAATTCAAAGACCCTTAGATGGGTCTTATGGTATGCAAGAGGGCTTTATGTCCAGAGTGTTCAGACAGATGGGGAGAGTAATAGGAGATGAGCTCAAAGAGGTATAAGAATGGGGGTGGGCACAGGGTCAAACCTTGTAGGCCAATAAAGGCATGGTCTTTTTTCCTAAGCGAGGCAGGAACTTATGAAGAGTTTTGAGCAGTGGAATGGTATGATCTGGCTCTAAGTTTTAAAAGATGGCACTGTGTTGACAAACTACAGGAGAGAAGGGTGAGAAGCATACAGAATGGTTAAGAGGCTATTGAAATGATCTATGTGAGAGGTTATAGTGTTTTAGACCAGGTGAGTAGCCACGGAGAAAGTGAGAGGTGGTCAAATTGTGGATATATTTAAAGGTAGTGTCATCAGGATTTGCAGACAGTCTGCATGCTGGGTGTGAGGGAAAGAGTCAAGAATAACTTCAAGGTTTTTGACCTGAGCAATTGGAAAGATGGAATCGTCAACTTAGATGAAGAAAACTATGTGAGGAACAGGTTAGTTGAAAAAACCAGGTGTTTGGTTTTGGATATATCAAGTTTGAGATGCTTATTAAACGTGTAAGAGAAGATCCTAATTAGGCCACTGCACCTTGTAGAAGAGAGGTCTAGACTGTAGATTTAAATATGCCTCTAGATGTTATTTAAAGCACTGAGAAATAATGAGATCACCCAGAGAAGGACAGTCTCCAAGGACTGAGCCCTTAGGCACTTGATGTTAAGAAGTGGGTAATAAAAATAGTTAATGCTCATGTAATACTTAACTGCGTACCAGACCTTGTTCTGAGTGTTTTTGTATATGAACTCATTTAATTTTCATGATATCCTCTTAAGGCAGTTACTATTATTACCATTATTTTATAGATTAGGAAACCGGGAGAAAGAAGTTAAGTAACTTGCCCAAGGTCATAACACTTACTGAGTTGCGTAGCCAGAATTCCAAACTGGCCTCTTCAGTAACTAGAAGAGAGGCACTACCAATAGAGATGACTGAGGAGGGACAACCAGTGAGGTAGAAGGAAAACCCAGGTGGTGTGAGGTCCCAGGAGCCATCTGAAGGAAATTTCAATGAGGATAAAATTGCTTACCCATGTCATATGATGCTGGCAGGCCAAATGAAGATAAAGACTGATAGAGCAACATGGAGGTTGTCAGTGACTTTGGCAATAGCAATTTAGGTTGGCAGTTTAGAGTGACAAGGGCAGGTGGAGTGGTGGCAGTAAAAGCCAGATTGGAGTGACTTCAAGAGAGAAGGGGATGTTAGACAATGAGTTTTGACCATTCTTGAGAGGATTTTTACTATACAGGGGATATAAGCAGGTAGTTGCTGGAGGGGGATATGGGACCAACTGAAGGTATGTTTTACACCTAGGATGACAATTAACAAACAGGTGTTGAGAATGATATAGTATAGAAGCAAACATTGATGGTGAAGGAAAGACAAGGACAAATGGCTACTGTGATGTCCTTGAGTAGGCAAGAGGTGACTTTTGGGGAAATGGACAGTTCATCTACCATAATGGGAGGGAAGCAGAGCCTACAGGTACAGATGCTGGTAGTTGGGTAAATGCAGTTGTGGGACTTTGTGAACATGCTCTCATTGTTTCAGTTCCTATGCCTCAATTTCCTTACCCACAAATTGGGAATTTATATCTCTCTTTCATGTTGCTGTGGGAATTGAATCAGACAACATGGTAAAATGTTAGCATCGTGCCCAGTATAATTTATGAGCTCAAATTATTTATGAGAAATTCCCTCATCTCCCTCTTTATTGGTTATTTATTATTATTTTTATTATCAGTTACTAGCATTCATTGAGCATTTACAATGTAGTAGACACTATGCCACGTACTTGGCACATATTCCTCAGAGAATGTTCCTTCCATGTTTGTGGTATCCTATTGAAGCTTTCTGAACTCTTATAAGGAACCTATTTGGGATTTGGTTGACTGGTTATTTCTTTTCCTCCCCGGGATTCCCTTTATCTGCAACTGTTCTGGTCTAGGTTTTTAACATTTTTTCATTCACACTGATTCATTCGCCTGGAGAACGGTGGCATATGGCTGGGACCTTGAAGGATACTTTCCAACTAACAGCCTTTGTGGTATAAGATGAGGCATGGTGAACTGAGTTAAGCCATTTGCCATCCCTGGGTCTAATTTATGTTGGCTCCACTGAAACTACCTCAGCACGGTAGAAGTCCCCCCAAACAAAAACAACCGGTTGTTCAAGCTTTCTTCTGCTGCTTTGGGGGTAGTGGGAAATGAGAGATGGTCAGTACTGACCAGCTCCTGAATATTCGTGTTCTCAGGTGGGAAAAGTGAAGTTATGTAGAGTGCCTAATAGGTCCCCCCAGCAATAACATTTTGGATTTTTTTTTCATCACCTGGACTCATTTACTGTTTGAAATAAGTACAGATTTCCCTACGGAGGATCCCCTTGTTCAAAATCAGTCAGTCATGAGAAATCCAACCCTCCTAAACAAAGGCCTTCAGTGACAGTAGATTTGTATTCTGTTCTCACAAGTCTGTTTCTAAGGAAAAGCAGTAGGAGTCAGTGTCTTCCCCTTTTTGAGCAATTTTCATAAACCAGAGGTTCTGTTTCCCATATCTGAGAAATGGCAATCCCAGCATTTTTACATACTTGAGAGCTGAAAATGATGACTATCCAAATAGG